TATAAGATTATAATGACATAGAGTAAGTGAAATCCTTTAGAAATAGAATATAATATAATTAAAGTCTTAATATGTATAGTTAGCGCAATTTAAATTATAATAAGCAATCGATCTCGATCATTAATTAATTCTTAAAAAAGTACTCGTATGATACTCCGCATATTATCTCAAGATTGATTTGATTCAACAAAAAATATCTTGCGTGACATGTTAATAATCTCTAAGTTATTCTTGGGATTTTTCTTTTGGACTGAAATTTGCTGGTCTGGTCTGGTCTGTTTAAGTCTGGTCTGGTCTGGTCTGGTAAACGTCTGGTCTCTGTGTATTTTATAACTATCCAAGTTTGGTCTGGTTTGGTCTGGTCTATTTAAGTTTGGTCTGGTCTATTTAAGTTTGGTCTGGTCTGGTCTGGAACTGAAAACAGTCCAAAAGAAAACATCCTTGGTACTTAATTGGTACTTTTGTCATTTTGTGATTCATCCATCAATAATCTTATGAGTTATACTCCCTCCGTCCCTTAAAACTTTTTCAACTTTTCTTTTTTGGATGTCTCACTAACTTTGCCACTTTTCCTTTTAAGTAAAGAATTTATGGTTGCAATTATTTCTCTATCCTATGCACAAACCTCAACCACACAGTTTTTACTTTATTAATCTCTGTGACGGTCAAACTTGGCGAAGTTTTAAGGGACTGAGCGAGTAAGACAATATAATGTCTAAATATATTGTTATGCTTCACAGAATCATGGTATGCAGTGGTGGCGATAGGGAGCGGTTGGAGGGCCTCTCCCCTACCTCCAAGAATTTCTTTTTTATATGCATATAAAAAGAAATATATCTAGTGATCAAGTTTGACACAGATTTGGCACATATTGATCGAATTTGGCACTGATGATAAGATAGTTTTGACACGACGTCGTGTCATATAGCTAGTGAAAGAATGGCATTGACACAAAATTTGGCACAAATTTGACGTATCTGTCAAATTCGTGCCAAATACCCTAAAAATATGTTGATGTTTTAAGTTTTGACCCCCGCAATATAGCAATTCTAAGCTAAGGTCCCCGTAAGGCCGTAACACCACATTTCTGGTTAGATCCGATCACTAATGATATGCATATATTATGTAGGCATGGAGCAATGGGGTGTACAAAAGTGTTGAGCACCGGGTGGTTGCCAACCAAAGGAAAGAGAGATTCTCCACAGCTTTCTTCTTTTGCCCATCGTACCACACAACAATTCAGAGCTCTTCTCAGCCTTCTGTTTATAAGACGTTTACTTTTGGAGAATTCAAACGGCAAGTACAAGAGGATGTCAAGAACACAGGCTCTAAAGTTGGCCTCCCTAGGTTTCTTGCTTCATAAACTTAGGCGCTAGTTAGCTAGTTATAAGCGCTGCTGCCAAACGCGCCACTGGCCTGTCATTGTACTCCTTAATAAGGTTAATCAACACACTATGTAACAAAGTTATCAAACTTTACCTCCTTAAAATGTGTAACATAGTAATAAGAATAATTTACTACTCCAAATAGCTAGGAGTAAAGAATGGTGTTGATTCTACAGAGGGTTATCACATTTTTGAATTACAAATATGAGTTACATGTTTGAATTTCAAAATAGAATTATCACATTTTTATTTTATCTAAATTAGAGTAATTATCTTCAAGTTGAATATACTGTCATGTTTAAAATTTGATAACGTTAAAAGTGGAAACGTTTTCTATTTCATTCATGGCAATTTCTTCAACAATATAATCACTAATTATGTTTTTATGTACCCTCTTCGAAAAATTCAAATGAATAATAGGAATTTCATGTGGTGCGATATTCAAATTTGTACGAAGTAATATTTATCTTTACATAACTAGTGTAAAGCCCGGGGCAATGCCCCGGCTGCGCGTCAATGTGATACAGGTTAAAATCATTTCATCATTTTCATTTACCCCAGTGCCGCAAAGGCTCCCACCTACGGTGGGGTGAGTGGGGGTCGGGTGTACGCAGTCTTACCCCTATACTAAAGCACAAAGAGATTGTTTCTGGATGACTCATAGTGCAAATCGCGTCCAAAATTGCATGGACTGACCGTTGCTTCATAACAAAGAAGCACAGACAGTTTAGTGAGTCATTTTGCTTTATTCCATCATATTCTTAAGCCGAAAAATAATGAATCTTTGGCTCCATTGCAAATGATGGAAATTGATACAAGTTAAAATGAAAAATATTAATATATATTGTGAATTATTCATAGATCACAAAGTTAACATATTAAATTTTAAAATAATGTTCATAACAATTGGCTTTTAGTTGAATTGAGACAATCAAATGGGTGAATTGAGATCTTATTAAATATTTGTTGTTTATTTGTTTACTTTGAATTTGTGAGTAAAATGATGAGCATAGGTTGCATTAATGGTGCATTTTCATCGTATAAAAGTAGCTCTTAAAAATAAATTGGTTTGCGTTGTGTTGATGGACATATCGCAGTAAGTGTTCAATGTAATTTTTGGGCTTATTATGATATATATATAGGAGTCCGTTTAGTTACCCTATTTTTGGGCTTATTATTCTTATCAATCAATTTTCTCACTAAACACGTAATTTTGTATTTCAGACTAAGTTTGTGTCGTCTAAATAAGAAATTAAGGTTGGAGTTACTTTATCACAAGATTGACTGAAATCAATTACTTTGTAGAGAATCAATTTAGCTATTTATAAATATATTTACTTTGTTTTATTAATAAATTATACTTTACATATTTTTTTCCACAATTTAAGAGAATCACTCAATTGAACCACTTCAAAATTTAAGGGGTTAAGGGCAAATTGGACACTATGATTCTATGATAATCTCATATTGGACACCAAGGTTGATAATGAGTTGATAAAGTGGGAATAAAGTAAGAATGAATTAGTTTCACACAAATGTTACCAAATATGGTATGAGAGTATGAGACAATATATAATAGGACATCCAAAAATGGAAAAATGAGACAATTATAAGGGGGCGGATGAATGGTTACATGTGTATCTCATATTAGACACTAAAGTTTCAAATGAATCAAATTTAACGTCTTTCTGATCATTATTGAACACCCACTAAAGACTTTTCACATTTGAAAGTTATAGTATTCCTTTTTCACTTTGTTTTATGTGCCTAAAAAATAAAAATAACCCAATTCGTGTATTTAGTTTTAGAGTTTATAATTAGACGGTCCAATTAAGAAAATCTATTGTAATGTAATCGAATTCTATATTATTGTTAAATCAATTGAACAAATCGATATTTCTCAAAGTTTCATAAAAACAATATGAATGAAAAGTCCTAAATATATTTTCAAATTGTTACATAGTAGAATTTATTAATTAAAATTGAATTATATATTGTAAAACCTCCATTTAAATATTCCAAAATTATATACATAAGTTAAATTAGTTTATTTTCACCAAAAAGAAACGGAAAAATAAGACTAAGGTTTTTTATTAAAGAAAGCGGAGAACCATAAGTGGGTGTCTAAGAAGTATAAATTATGAAACTTTAGTGTCTAATATGAGATACACATAATCATAATTTCTAATTTGGTCCATTTTAAAATGTTAGTGTTCAATATGAGATTCTAATGTAATCATATTATGTAATTTGACCCTTATCCCAAAATTTAAGTATTACTAAACGGATCAGTCAATCAGTTAAATGTACGTAGTACAGGTATTAACCATCCAAAAGAGTCTTGTTGAATTATACTGAGTATATGACCACGCATAAGAAGTTCTATCTGGAGTAGTTTCAAAACGATTCTGTGAAAACGACGTTATAATATATGAATGGTATGGATGAGTCCAAATCCAAGTTCAATTAAAGTTAATAAACGAACGAATTACTTGTTATAATTAAAGATGCAAAAAAAACACAGTTTTTTTATGAATCTCAGGTTATGGATATGAAAAATAAAAATTTAAAATTCCATTTTTTTTGTTTTTGTTTTCTGGCAAATTCCATTTTGTGTTAATAATCGAAATTTTCAATCCAGAAAAAATATACTCCGGTATTCATTATATATTGTTTTTACATTGGTAATTATTTACGGAGTAATTATCTAGAAGGTATTTGTCTTTTGTATCTAGAATTGTCAAGTAACTATATATTGTTGTATTGTTGTGGAGAGGAGTCTGATAAGCCTTTTTATATTAAATTAAATGTATAAAGGTGATGGAAAATATTATAATCGTTAGTCAAACAAATATAAGCATTTAGGAATCCATGTCTAATAATATGGAGTAGTATGTGTTATCTAAAGGGTAGCTCTTCGGTACACTTACGTTCTAGGATGTACCGGTGCATTCAACACATGGCATAAAATTACTTAATATATATTCCACGTCACTTCTTCATTTAGAAAATTCTGACTTTGCTGAATAGATCCCTACAGTATGTGATATTATAATATAATTCATGCCTGCCTTATTCCCTTCTCTGACTCTTGTGCGGAAGGAAGAAGATGAGAAAGAAAGTCATCCGCACCTGCAATTCAAGCAGCTAAGCGGTTAAGGTTCTGTCCATCTTCTTTCTCTCCTGATAATCGGCTGTCTCGTTCGGTGATAATCGGTTGTCTCGTTCGGATTTACAAGTCAATCTCCTCCTCCGCATCTGCAAACCTTATTGGTAAGCTTTAGCTGGCCGATCGCTCAACCAAATCCCATCTACGTTCCGTAAGCTTCTCTTTTATTTTTACATTTTTGTCTCTTTTATCAGTTTAAATTTCTATCAGTTCTAAATTATTCATTTTAGTCAAGCAAGTCTTGAATTTGCAATACAAGTTTTAATATGAGTTTCTTGTTTTTGTTTGCAGTCAGCTACCAACAATTTTAACTATGACAAAAAGTTGAGTGAAGGCGGATTCGGTAGTGTTTATGTCACGCCCCAGACCGCATTTGAGCGCGTGTACAACCGCCGTATGACTAAATGACGTCACCCGCGAGTCAACGTGACTTAGTCAAACAAGGCGTCCATGAACATAGTCCATACCATACTCAGTAAGTAAACATACATAACAACATCACACAATAGGATTGAACGAATAGCGGAAATATTCAATATTCAATCGTGGGCCACACATGGCCAAAACGTAGGCACGCAGGCCCAAAACAAATGTATTTATTACAAAAATATCCATGAGCAAGTTTGTAGTTTAAAACATTAAAGGAAGCACGAACCACGTCTCCCTTTGGATCACTTCACCGAGCAAGGTGAGAATAGCAACTTGAGCTTCAACCTGAAATGGTGGGCCCCCCCGAAGGGGTCAGTACAAGTACCGAGCGAGTAGCAGGCTAAATGTAGAATAACTAACGTTTCAAGTATAAGACCCAAACATAGGGTGATACATATACGTATAGTCCTTTCCCCAAGTTTTGAAATACATATTGGTATATATACACTTGGAAATACCCGACCCGTAGGTCATTGTTTATTTGGGAAAAATAATAGAAGCCAATGTCCTTGACTTAAATCCCAACCCACCCATATACCTATGAGTGTATAGAACTCCTCCTTGTTCAAGTAAATTATCATAAGGACACCGCCCGGTCCTAGATCATTAAATGTAATCTATGAGTTTTGAGGATACACGCCCGATCCTTGGGTACTCCACCCTATAACCGAGTTTTGAGGATAACCGCCCGATCCTTGGGTACTCCACCCTATATATATACATATATACCGAGTTTTGAGGATAACCGCCCGATCCTTGGGTACTCCACCCTATATATATACATATATACCGAGTTTTGAGGATAACCGCCCGATCCTTGGGTACTCCACCCTATATAACCGAGTTTTGAGGATAACCGCCCGATCCTTGGGTACTCCACCCTATATATATACATATATACCGAGTTTTGAGGATAACCGCCCGATCCTTGGGTACTCCACCCTATATAACCGAGTTTTGAGGATACACGCCCGATCCCTGGGTACTCCACCCGACCTATGACTTACCACATATCACACTAGATAGGGTCTATATCATATTATTACTAAAGACTAACCAAGTCTTAGAATTAAATCAATGAATGTCAATCTTGACATTAAATCATCATATTCCATGCAATTCCATGCACAATATACACACATAGGTTGTACGGGGTCAGCCCCTCCTTCGAACCGGACTTCGGTTCGCGTTTTTAGTGAAATTTAAGTGTGGAGGCAGTAGCTTACCCGGCCCCGGGTATGCCCTATACCCGGCGCCGGGTATGTTCGGAGTTTTGGGTCAATGGCCCGTTGACCCCCGAGTTGACCCCCGAACCGTGTTCCGTTTGATCCGAAATTTTTATACAACCTATATCATGTCTAAAACAATCAATAAATGTTATTTTGGCCTTCCAAAACATCACATATGTTTTATATATATTTTCTACTTCCCACATGCATAATCATGTAGTTTCATTCACATAAGCCTAATCACCTTGGCTAATCACATGCTTAAACTCTTTTAAACATCATTATGAATACTTATAACATTTATTTAAGTAATCTCATACTTAACCCAAGAGTTATAAGACATTAAGCCGTCCACTCACCTTGAATTAGCGTTATGAAGTTCTACCCTTCTTGGTTGAACTCCGGTGAAACTCCGGCGACTTTTGGTCAACTCCGGCGACAATTCCGGCGACTTTCCCAACCTTGTGAAATCACTTGAAATACCTTTCACAAGTTCCTAACAAGGTTTTATAATCATAAAACCCATATTAATACAAATAACCTCAAAAAGGTTATTTTCCGGTGAACCGGTCGTTTTGGCTTCTAAGACCGTTCTTGGACATAGAATCACTTCATAACCCATAAATCCATACTTATAACATGTAGAACCCTCTTAAGGGTTCTTCACATGATACATATCTCATATGGTAGGATAAAAATAAAGGAAAAGTTATAATGAGGTCATTACCTTAATTTACACACTTTTCCTAGCCTTTTTCCTTCTTTAATCTTTCTTCTTTGAGCACTTATGCTTGAGCTCGAATTTGGTGGCTATGGAGGATGGTTTGAGAGCTTCCTTCTCCTTTCTTGATGGGGTTGGACGAGCTGAAAGATAGGGGTGAGAGAGAGGGCACTCACCTTTGTCTCAAAGACAATTAAGAGAGGTGGGGGGTCCTCTTTGGTACTATAGATGCCAAATAATCCTCCTCCACATACTCATTTGTCCTTCCAGCCCCCCCATGGGTCTTGTTGAGCACACAAAAACGTGGGGTGGCCCCCACTCATGTGGGAGGTCATCCCAACTTGTCCCGAAATGTACATTCGGTCCCGAAAGTTGTATTTTTCGGACTGTTTTAAATATATTTTATTTTATCGGGTCAAATAAAATATATTATGTGCTCTTACTCATTATGACATTTATAATGAATATACATTCCCCAACTTTAATTTATAAGCCTCCGAAATTCATTTCCGGGCTGCTATCTGTTAAATTGTCAGTACCGGTAATTGAGCCTCTTTTTCCCAATCGGTCAACTCTGTGCCTTTCCATGACCCAAATAAAATATCCACCACTATATAAATATTATCTTGACCAAGATGAATAAAACATGTGGTCTCGGGAGTGTCGGGCGGCCCCCGCTCCCGGTGTGGGTCCCACGTGCAATTTACTATTCGCGCGAAAGAAATAATAAAAATTTACAACTTCGTAAATTCATTAATCCTTTGATAAGGTTCAATACATTATTTACATAAAAGTAAATATACTTGGGGACGGTGTTACAAGTTCACCCCCCCTTATTTGGGATTTCGTCCCCGAAATCCAAGTATCTAATCGAAAGGAAATGGGTATTGCTCCCTCATTGAGACCTCGGTCTCCCAAGTTTCTTCTTCGACTCGATCACTCCTCCAAAGAACCTTTACCATAGGAATCTCCTTATTCCTAAGCTTCTTCACTTGTTGACCAACAATCTTTACTGGTTCCACCGCATAATGCAAGTCCTCACGGATCTCTACCGATGGTTTCTCAAGAATATGAGATGGGTCTCGTATGTACTTCTTGAGCATTGATACATGAAACACGTCATGTATCTTCTCAAGTTCAGGCGTCAACTTGAGACGATAAGCCACGGCTCCAATCCTCTCAAGGATCTCAAACGGACCTATGTATCGGGGGTTAAGCTTCCCCCTCGATACGAATCGGATGATGCCCTTCCAAGGAGAAATCCTTAGGAAGACCTCATCACCGACCTCGAACTCCAATGGTCTCCGCCGTTTATCAGCATAACTCTTTTGTCGGTCCTGAGCGGCCTTCAATCTGTCACGAATGATTTTCACCTTAGCCTTGGTGATCTCAACAAGTTCTATTCCCTCGAGCTTGGCCTCACCAACCTCGTCCCAACACAATGGTGTCCTACACTTCCTCCCGTACAGTGCCTCGTACGGAGGCATGCCAATACTTGCCTGATAACTGTTGTTATAGGCAAACTCCACTAAAGCCAGGTGTTTGTCCCAACTCCCTTGGAACTCCAAGGCACATGCCCTAAGCATGTCTTCCAAAATCTGTATCACCCGCTCAGATTGTCCATCTGTCTGTGGGTGAAAGGCTGTGCTAAACTTCAGTTTAGTACCCAATGATGCTTGAAACTTTGGCCAAAACTTGGATGTGAATCGTGGATCCCTATCCGAGACAATGGATATCGGGACTCCATGCAATCTCACAACCTCTTCCACATATAACTTGACCAACCTTTCAAGAGGGTAAGTAATGTTGATAGGTAAGAAGTGTGCGCTCTTGGTGAGCCTATCAACCACTACCCAAACTGCGTCGTAGTTGTTCACTGTCCGGGGTAGCCCTACCACGAAGTCCATGGTCACATGCTCCCACTTCCATTCTGGAATGGTAAGTGGTTGCAAAAGCCCCGTTGGGTGCTGATGCTCCGCCTTAACTTGTTGGCAAGTAAGGCATCGGCTCACGTACTCTGCGATGTCTCTCTTCATACCTGACCACCAGTAACTTTCCTTCAAATCTCGGTACATCTTAGTACCTCCTGGATGCATAGCATAAGCTGAAGAATGAGCCTCCTCAAGTATAGACTTCTGGAGTTCCTCATTCTTTGGTATGCATACACGATCCTTAAACAATAATAGACCGTCATCACGTACTCGGAAGTTCTCAACGGGCCCCGCAAGGATTCTTTTCACGGATCTTCTGACATTCCTCATCCATGGCCTGACTTCGACTAATCTCGCCCAATAGGGTGGGCCTAACCTCGAATCGAGCAATGAGAGCCCCACACGTGGACACCTCCACGCGTGCCCTCAATGCCTGTAGACATGTGAGTAGCGTCCCTGTCGTATTCTTCCTGCTCAGTGCGTCGGCCACGACATTGGCCTTTCCGGGATGATAGTCGATGATCAAGTCATAGTCCTTGATCAACTCCATCCATCTCCTCTGCCTCATATTCAACTCTTTCTGAGTGAATACGTACTTCAAGCTCTTATGGTCTGTAAAAATGTGACATGTCTCCCCGTAGAGATAATGCCTCCAGATTTTCAGTGCAAACACTACCGCCCCTAATTCTAGATCATGGGTAGGGTAGTTCACCTCGTGCTTTCTTAATTGCCTTGAAGCATAGGCAATCACTTTACCGTTTTGCATCAGTACACATCCAAGCCCTTGGATGCTAGCATCACTGTAGATATCATACCCTATCCCCTGTATGGGTAGGGCTAGGACTGGTGCTTCGGTAAGTCGTTTCTTCAGTTCAAGGAACCCTTTCTCACACTTGTCGTCCCATATAAACTTGGCCCCTTTCTTTGTGAGCTTCGTTAATGGGGACGCCAATACGGAGAATTTCTCAACAAATTTACGATAGTATCCCGCTAGGCCAAGGAAACTACGTATCTCTTTCACATTCTTGGGTCTCTCCCAATCCATGATAGCTTTTATCTTGGCGTTATCCACAGCAACGCCCGAACCGGATATGACATGACCGAGGAAACCAATCTCCTTGAGCCAAAATCCGCATTTAGAGAACTTGGCAAAGAGTTGCTTTTCCCTTAGCCGATCAAGTATAAGCCCCAAATGATGTTCGTGCTCCTCCTCGCTCTTGGAGTATATTAAGATATCATCAATGAATACTATCACAAATTGATCTAAGTATTCACTAAACACACGGTTCATCAAGTCCATGAATGCTGCCGGTGCATTGGTTAAACCAAATGACATCACAAGAAACTCGTAGTGACCATATCTAGTGCGAAATGCACTCTTAGGTATGTCACTCTCCTTGATCTTCAACTGATGATACCCCGACCTCAAGTCAATTTTCGAGAACACTATTGCCCCTCGAAGTTGATCGAACAAGTCATCAATCCTCGGTAAGGGATACCTGTTTTTGATGGTGACCTTGTTCGATTGTCGGTAGTCGATACACATTCTTAGCGTACCATCTTTCTTCTTTACGAAGAGTACGGGTGCTCCCCACGGTGAATGACTGGGTCTGATGAACCCGTTGTCCAGTAATTCTTGTAGTTGGACCTTCAACTCTTGGAGTTCGGCCGGCGCCATTCGATAAGGAGGAATCGAAATGGGTTTGGTTCCCGGCTCCACTTCAATTACAAACTCTATCTCTCTATCGGGTGGAAGCCCCGGTAGGTCTTTGGGAAATACATCCGGGTATTTGCATACGACCCATACATCTTTGATGTCGACTTCCTTCTTGGTATCGTCCACCACGTAGGCAAGGTATGTGTGGCATCCCTTCCTCATCATCTTCCGTGCTCTCATCACGGATATGATACATGCATGGGACTTCCCCCGATCTCCTTCAAAACATAGCGTGTTCCCTTGATCATCCTCGAGCTCCAACACCTTGGTGTAGCAATCCACTCGAGCATGGTGTTTCTCGAGCCAATCTATTCCTAGGATTGCATCGAACTCCAACATGCTTAGAGGTACGAAATCACAAGTCAAATGTTGACCCGTCACTTCTACCTCACACGACGGATAGAAATGATTCCTCTCCACGTCGTCTCCTAACGGTGTGGAGACTAGCAACGTTTGTGTCATAGGTGTCAATGGCACGTCAAGGCCCTCGGCGAACGCCTCACTCACAAATGAGCGTTGTGCCCCGGTATCGATGAGGATCCTCGCACACCTACCCTTGATCTTTAATGTTCCTACATTTATACACCATGTAAGATACCTTTTCTAATGTTTTTACACATCTTTAGGAGGTTATTAGGTTCATACTAATGTTTGGAATCAAACGGGGGTCCAAACGTAGAAGAACGGGACGAAAAAATCAAGTTTCGGGTGCCAGGGGTCCACGCACGGCGTGCGTAGGGGGTACGCACGGTCGTGCATACCTTGCCTTCCCAATGGAGGCTACTGCCCCCAACGCACGGAGGGACGCACGGGCAACGCACGGCCGGGCGTGCAGCGATTTCCTCCGGGGTGCTACTGCCACCAACGCACGGAGGTACGCACGGGCAACGCACGGCCGGGCGTGCAGCGATTTCCTCCGGGGTGCTACTGCCACCAACGCACGGAGGTACGCACGGGCAACGCACGGCCGTGCGTGCAGCCCAGCCTGTAGTGCGTTGGCAGAAATCAACCTGATTTCGCCCAATTTCGCCCAATTTCGCTCCGTTTGATCCCGGGGTGGCCCGAACTCAACCCCCAACGGTGTATATGATCAAAATAAGCCTAGAAATACATGGAATTAAGTGTATTACCTGAGACGGAGTCCGGGTTTGCCCGCGCATCCGCCTCGGTCATCGCGTAGTCTCGTGCTTGGGCCCTGCCTTGATTGACGGACGTAGCGTTGCTCGCCGTTGGTTCCGTATGGTTTCCTTCCACGGTGAGCCCTTCCTTGACTTGTGATGTCTCTCGTTGCCTCCTCCATGGGCAACTTAATTTCATGTGGGTTGTGCTCCCACATTCGTAGCACATCGGGGGCTCGTTGCACTTTCCGAAATGTTTCTTAAAGCAATTCGAACATTTGGATGGTCTGAAAGAGTAAGGAAAGGACGTATGCCACCTTGAGGTCCTTTTCTTTTTCACCGGTGATGCCGGTGCCGTAAGAGTGCTTTCTCCTCCTTGGTCGTTTGCCCAAGGATGGGTTTGGCTGACAGTCATATCACGTTGGGAGGTGGCCCGATCTCGCCTCGCCTGACGCCTACGTTCTTTCCTCCTGGTGTTCATGTTACACATCGAGCCCACTTGATTAGCGCTTGCCGCTTGGCGGCCCTCACGGCCCCCATGGCCTATTCCTCTCCCCGTAAAGGCTCGTGACACAGCCCGGCTAGCCTCAAGGTAAGCTACCGACGCTTCTCCCTTAGGGTCATTCCTTGTTGCCATTCGCTTACCCTCCATTTCTGAAACGGAATTTGGACGAGTCTTTAGACTCCTATGAATGTCAATTGACGGAAAAACGTTATAGACACGTATTGACCCAAGTCACCACCATACCAATTGTTAAGGGTACCGTCTTAACAATTAGAGGCCCTGCAACTTAAGCACCAATAGTCCCATAAACGTCAAAATACAATGCTCATGGTTTTCGGTAAAAACTCTTCTGTAAAATCTTTTGTGAGAGGTTGATTATATAGTTTAGAACTGAGATGGCTCTGATACCACTTAATTGTCACGCCCCAGACCGCATCTGAGCGCGTGTACAACCGCCGTATGACTAAATGACGTCACCCGCGAGTCAACGTGACTTAGTCAAACAAGGCGTCCATGAACATAGTCCATACCATACTCAGTAAGTAAACATACATAACAACATCACACAATAGGATTGAACGAATAGCGGAAATATTCAATATTCAATCGTGGGCCACACATGGCCAAAACGTAGGCACGCAGGCCCAAAACAAATGTATTTATTACAAAAATATCCATGAGCAAGTTTGTAGTTTAAAACATTAAAGGAAGCACGAACCACGTCTCCCTTTGGATCACTTCACCGAGCAAGGTGAGAATAGCAACTTGAGCTTCAACCTGAAATGGTGGGCCCCCCCGAAGGGGTCAGTACAAGTACCGAGCGAGTAGCAGGCTAAATGTAGAATAACTAACGTTTCAAGTATAAGACCCAAACATAGGGTGATAAATATACGTATAGTCCTTTCCCCAAGTTTTGAAATACATATTGGTATATATACACTTGGAAATACCCGACCCGTAGGTCATTGTTTATTTGGGAAAAATAATAGAAGCCAATGTCCTTGACTTAAATCCCAACCCACCCATATACCTATGAGTGTATAGAACTCCTCCTTGTTCAAGTAAATTATCATAAGGACACCGCCCGGTCCTAGATCATTAAATGTAATCTATGAGTTTTGAGGATACACGCCCGATCCTTGGGTACTCCACCCTATAACCGAGTTTTGAGGATAACCGCCCGATCCTTGGGTACTCCACCCTATATAACCGAGTTTTGAGGATAACCGCCCGATCCTTGGGTACTCCACCCTATATATATACATATATACCGAGTTTTGAGGATAACCGCCCGATCCTTGGGTACTCCACCCTATATAACCGAGTTTTGAGGATACACGCCCGATCCCTGGGTACTCCACCCGACCTATGACTTACCACATATCACACTAGATAGGGTCTATATCATATTATTACTAAAGACTAACCAAGTCTTAGAATTAAATCAATGAATGTCAATCTTGACATTAAATCATCATATTCCATGCAATTCCATGCACAATATACACACATAGGTTGTACGGGGTCAGCCCCTCCTTCGAACCGGACTTCGGTTCGCGTTTTTAGTGAAATTTAAGTGTGGAGGCAGTAGCTTACCCGGCCCCGGGTATGCCCTATACCCGGCGCCGGGTATGTTCGGAGTTTTGGGTCAATGGCCCGTTGACCCCCGAGTTGACCCCCGAACCGTGATCCGTTTGATCCGAAATTTTTATACAACCTATATCATGTCTAAAACAATCAATAAATGTTATTTTGGCCTTCCAAAACATCACATATGTTTTATATATATTTTCTACTTCCCACATGCATAATCATGTAGTTTCATTCACATAAGCCTAATCACCTTGGCTAATCACATGCTTAAACTCTTTTAAACATCATTATGAATACTTATAACATTTATTTAGGTAATCTCATACTTAACCCAAGAGTTATAAGACATTAAGCCGTCCACTCACCTTGAATTAGCGTTATGAAGTTCTACCCTTCTTGGTTGAACTCCGGTGAAACTCCGGCGACTTTTGGTCAACTCCGGCGACAATTCCGGCGACTTTCCCAACCTTGTGAAATCACTTGAAATACCTTTCACAAGTTCCTAACAAGGTTTTATAATCATAAAACCCATATTAATACAAATAACCTCAAAAAGGTTATTTTCCGGTGAACCGGTCGTTTTGGCTTCTAAGACCGTTCTTGGACATAGAATCACTTCATAACCCATAAATCCATACTTATAACATGTAGAACCCTCTTAAGGGTTCTTCACATGATACATATCTCATATGGTAGGATAAAAATAAAGGAAAAGTTATAATGAGGTCATTACCTTAATTTACACACTTTTCCTAGCCTTTTTCCTTCTTTAATCTTTCTTCTTTGAGCACTTATGCTTGAGCTCGAATTTGGTGGCTATGGAGGATGGTTTGAGAGCTTCCTTCTCCTTTCTTGATGGGGTTGGACGAGCTGAAAGATAGGGGTGAGAGAGAGGGCACTCACCTTTGTCTCAAAGACAATTAAGAGAGGTGGGGGGTCCTCTTTGGTACTATAGATGCCAAATAATCCTCCTCCACATACTCATTTGTCCTTCCAGCCCCCCCATGGGTCTTGTTGAGCACACAAAAACGTGGGGTGGCCCCCACTCATGTGGGAGGTCATCCCAACTTGTCCCGAAATGTACATTCGGTCCCGAAAGTTGTATTTTTCGGACTGTTTTAAATATATTTTATTTTATCGGGTCAAATAAAATATATTATGTGCTCTTACTCATTATGACATTTATAATGAATATACATTCCCCAACTTTAATTTATAAGCCTCCGAAATTCATTTCCGGGCTGCTATCTGTTAAATTGTCAGTACCGGTAATTGAGCCTCTTTTTCCCAATCGGTCAACTCTGTGCCTTTCCATGACCCAAATAAAATATCCACCACTATATAAATATTATCTTGACCAAGATGAATAAAACATGTGGTCTCGGGAGTGTCGGGCGGCCCCCGCTCCCGGTGTGGGTCCCACGTGCAATTTACTATTCGCGCGAAAGAAATAATAAAAATTTACAACTTCGTAAATTCATTAATCCTTTGATAAGGTTCAATACATTATTTACATAAAAGTAAATATACTTGGGGACGGTGTTACAGTTTAAGCCTTAATTTGACAAAAAAATTCAATCTTCAATTTAGTTTAATCATGAACTTGCTGTAATCCATCTAGATCTCATTAAAAAGTTAAGCAATGGGGAGAAACTGGAACCATTCTGGATTCAGGCTTTGAGCGGTGAGCTTTGTGGTTCTCTTATCTGTATATTCAGTTTCTGCCGCGAATAGTAAACCCGAAATTCCAAAATTGTGAAGGGGGCTCTAAGAGCAAAGTGGCCAGGCACCTCCTTACTTTTGGAAGGGGGCTCTAAATCTATCTTATATTGTTGGACTTGAGAGTTTCATTTTAATACAGAAAATATGACTTCTACACACATAGGAAATTGAGAAATCGATAAAGGATTCAAGAAACATGTTTTTCAAATTTAACAAGCCAACCTCATGTTATCATGATGTTAAAATTTATTTTGGGTAATGGTATATTCATTTGGCTGATTAAGAAAATATATTCTTGAGCAGATTATGTTTTGGTCCAGAAACAAAGAGTGCATTTAGCTGTGAATTGGTAAGTCATCGTATCTGAGGCTAGTCAAATGCTTTCGCTGCTTATACATATTATAAATATTAGACCATACTATAAGCATGATGAGTATTATGACACTACTTGCTACAAACAAGATATAATTACTTTCTGGACAAGAATTCTCTAGTGCCTTTTACGTAGTGAAAGAAATCATTTTTGTGATACTTATAGAACGTAATAGTCTATCAGGTAATTAGTCTAGTAAAGTTAAATATGTGGTAAATAGGGTTAATACACATACACATATGAGTTGACTGGTTGAAGACTCGGGGCCACAATTGCATATCCATTCATAGGCATAACCATTCTTTCTAGTGATCTGATGTCCTGGTTGGGTTGGTTGACTTACTAGAGTAGAGTGATTGGAGACGTGGAATCATAACTGCAGTTTCAGTTAAAGTTTCCGACTTGGCCTTTTTCTGATCACAGTCATAACGGCATTTTTCTGATCACAGCCATTTCCCCCACCTTATGCAATTCGTGATTTTAACAAGTTGGTGATCAGGAAAGGCCTGATACTAAATTATACCCTTTTTGAATTATTTTTCTCTTCCATACACCTTTCTTATTACTCCGTATTAGGGAGCCTCATTTTTCTGAATACATCTTTTTTATTCCCTCTAGCGCTCATCCATTGATCTACTTGTTCTACTTTATTTAAGTGGTTTCTACTGGTTTAAGTCTAGCAAGCTAACAAGTCCCAATTTGAGTGCAATGTGATTTTAATTATTAATTTTATAAATTTGAGTGCAATGACATTTTAATCTATAGTCGTCTCTATAGACTTAATGTCACTCCTGGGTTGGTTTAAGGTGATGATATTGATGATGATGATGATGATTTATTTAATGTCATTCATAAGTAGGTTGGACTAAGGTTATGATGATGATGAGTTTGCCGGAAAACACTATAATCATATTTGTTAAAATGGCTAACTAATGCTATTTCTGACAGACACCCTCGCACATTGGTTGTATCCTGACCGAGTACTCTTCTCTGTGCTGCGTTCCGGCGTTTCAAATTTTCCAACTTTTCTTTCACAAAATGGGGCTCTCAAACGATCTAGATCTGTTGAATCCTTCTTTTGAAGATCAGAAAGGAAAGCACAAGCTCAAGTGTCTCGTACCGTCCCTGAACTCTTTCTTTATGGGTGTGAAGTGTCAAGGTTGCTTTAACATAATAAATGTGTTCAGCCATTCTCATGGGAACTGTGGGAACTGCCAGACGGTCTTATGCCAACCAACGGGTGGACGTGCCAGACTCACTGAGGGCTGCTCCTTTAGGAGAAAGGGCGACTAGTAACCAAGTCCATGATCAGATCTTGCTGCTTTCTTTCACAGGGTTACTAATGACCATACTATATCATTTTTGTTTGACATTTGATTTTAAAAAGTTATGTTAGGATCTTGATCTTGGGTATTTAGTCTGCGTTATAATTCCCAACTTTTGGGTTCATATTGTTTCGTAATTATGTTACATGTTTGACAATCATGTTTTTGAATATAGTAATCATTTTGGTTGTTAAAAAAAGCTATTTCTGACAGACACTCCTAGACTCTTCGGCTCAACCTGCAAACGTCACTACACTTGTGGACCGTGACTCCATTACTGGAAATCAGCTCCAGTCAATCAAATTGTACAAGAAAATGAAGATGAAATGTTGCTTTGGAATGAAGCTGAAGAAATAAATGAAATGTGGAATAAATGAGAGGGGAGGAAACCAAGAAAATTGGTATTAAAGATGTAAATAGGCTTAATGAGTTGGTAAAAAAGGCCTAATGAGTTGGTAGTTGAGAACAGAATCTTTGGTGATCTGCCTACTTTGGTACAGCGATAACACATTGATGCAACTTGCCTACAGAATTCTTGAATCTTGATTTTATGAAAAGAGTGTTTGAGACTTTGAGCAGGCCTATGCTGAATGCTGATACTCAAAACTTTTTTGTTGTTTAAGTGTGAAATCCAATATGTTATATTTGCTGATATCCAGAAACATGCAACTGGAAAATGTACATTGAAGAAATTCTGAAGAACCGTAGCAAATTATAACTCGTAATCTTTGTATTTGACTTAGTACTACGTATTAAATAAGTGAAATGTTCATACTATTAAAAAAGTGAAGTGTTCATTGTTAAACTCAGTATATGACAAAAATACATCACAAATTCCATCTAAACCAACAAATTTAAGTCGATTATAAAAATCATCTAACCATAAATTCACCTATAATTCCTTTTCTACTGCCTATTGAATCACATTTAATTAAAGAAAATAAAACACATGTTGTGTAAATTTTGTTCCGCCACAACAAACACAACAATGGCAGCAGCCTATTCTGCTTTCCTGAGATGCAGCATCACTTCAACTCCCTTTAATCGGCCATCTTGACTTAAGTAATCTCCTAATTCGATTGGCTTGTTTGCTAATTGACTACTGCTGTTTGGGCGGCCAGAGTGCCTACGTCATAAGTCCATATATGCCGTTGGATATATACCCTTAATATATGAGGACCTGGTCTCAATATTGAAGACCCATTCCCAACTGTAAACAACAAAAGACAAAGAAGAAAAGACAACAGGAATTAAAATTTGGGTGGTGAGGGTCGTTTTTTTCCAATTCTTTCCAACAAATACAACCATTATAATTAACAAAACATTATCTTGCATCAACATAAAAACAAAGCATAACATCATCTAAGGTAATTACATAAGTGGATATCAAAAGCTTCAGTACTAATAATCTATATATGAGAGACGGTCTAAGACATCAGATAAAATAAGATTTTTCAATAAAGATGGACACGATCTAACTGCACTAGTAGAAAAATAAAATAGAGTTCAGGAACTACGGATAATAACTTGGGGTTTGCGTCAGATAGATATAAAAAATTATAAAGATGTTCAATATGAAAGTTGTTGCCTAAAGATTTTAATACTATGCTTCAATATCAAGTTATATCTTGGATTGAACCCCAACACGTACTCTAGCCTTAAGTTGAACATTTCTTTTAATTTCCTAAACAGTGACCTAATGGGAGAGACAGTTATTGGAATTCCACGGACTATTAAGTATTAAGGTTAATATTACTTGCTTATCTCTCATCGTACCATTTATGTGCTATTATTTTAAAATTGATACTTCAAGGAGTTCAAGATGCAAATAAAAAAAGCACATAGGTAGGTTTGTGAAGGCTAATCACACAGTATTTTAGAGGTATAGAGGTAAATCTAAGACACGACTTTCGTCTTTTACCCCAATTTCTATAGCTTCCCCTATTGAATAAGAGAAGAATGACCCTTTTAATAATTAACTTCGTCTTCAACAAACATTCACAATTTTTTTGTACAAACAGATGAGTTCATCATCAATTTTTCAATAAGCTAAAAAAATATGACTCCTTCAAATGGAAAAATAAACCAAGTGACAATCTTAACTAAGCATTAGGATGATCAAATTACATCCACAGATAAGATCAACAAACGGTTCTCAATATATATCATTGATTATATATGGTCAAACTTGAAATTGGAGGAGAAAGAGAAAAATTTACAGTAAACAATCAGAAGATTAATTACCTCAATTTAGATTAGTTGGGGCTCTAAGATCTTTTTGTGGCACTGCACTTCGCAGGGATGATGTCGCAGAGAGAAGGTTGTTGTATGAAACGAGATGTAGGACGAACTCTTGCTTGGAAAATTTCTCTCGGAAACGAGCTCAGGACGATGAAACTAGTTATGCCCTTGTTTGAATTTGATTTGGAGGGCTTCTATGCAATTTTGCAAAAGAATTAGACT